TTCTCAAGATCCATTGCAGACAACCATGAAAGAAACAATTTAACAAGGAAACCAAGCAATTACCAATAATAAAGAAAAGAAGAAGAAGAAACAAACATGATAGAACAACACCCAAAAAAATCAACAATGCACACCTGAAGAAAATATGAAAAATCAAGCTTTATTTTCTTGAAGTTCAGGTTACAAGCTGCTGTACTTCCTCTCAATCTCTCCAATTTTTCATCTAGGCTCGCCAATTGCCTCCCCTTCCCCTCAATTTTTGAATCTGAAAGTTAGAAGCCAAAGGCCCCCCCTAACAACTGGAATTGGTTATCGAAACCCTAATCCTACAACGTGCCAAAAGGAATCAAGAACCAAATGGATGATAAAGAAAGTGACAATAAAGCAGAGGCAAAGCAACATTGGGAATGTCTATGGTGAAACCCAGATCTGGGTTTGAGAAACTCAGATATGGGTTTTTCTCAAAATTGCTACCGAAGGTAGGTGAAAGATTTACAGATCTGGAGAGTTCACAATCTTGAGGAAACTAAGAACAGTGACTTGGCTCCTGGGACATCGAAAAACAGTAGAGTTGTTGATCGGTTTAGAACGAGCTTCGTCGTCTAGGGTTAACGTCGTAGGGACGCGTAAAACGGAAGACAAAAGGAATTGGTAGAAATGGAAACTCTTTTATGAACATTGTAGCCAAAGATAAGGACATTTGGTTTGCATACATAAGGGAAGAGGAGAGGACAACAGACGCTGCTTTGGAGTTGAAGTTCTTGAGACAAACCCAAATCTGGAAAGGAAGAAAAGATTTTTTTCATTTTTACGTGGATGAAAAAAAAAAAAAAGAATCATTATTTTTAAATTAAATAAAAATACCAACTCATAAAAAAAATATCGCCAACTATGCTTTTTTATTTTCCTGTCATTAGTTAAGAAAAAAATATTGATTTACTGGCAAGTTAACGTGCCACTTGTCATTTAACTGACGGAAAGACCATTTTGGTATCGAAAATGAAAGTTTAAGGATAATTTTGGTGCCAAAGTGAAAAATTGAGGGACCAATCTGGTTCTTTACACATCTTCCCTCTTTTAAGGCTAGATTCATACCTGTTTTGGGACTCCCAATTTGAATCGATTTCAAAAACTTCTTCTTCAATTCTTGATAAGCAAGAGGAAGCAAGAATCGTAGGGTTCATCTGAACCCAGCCTCTCTTTTTTATTTTTTAGCCCATTGATCAAAACGATGTCATTTTGCCATTTTCTCCTGTCAACCCTTCAAGTTTCTAGCCTTTATAAAAATAGTCCATTGCCTTTTAATTTTATCATTTAGCCCTAATTAAAATTAGGTTATGACAAGTATGGCATAAATTAGTCTAATAATAAGTCCACCTACAACTAATAACTTGATTTTAACTTTCAAATTTGGCACATATTAAAGGATTAAAATGTGACAGTGCACCTTGAAATGATTTTCACGTAATGCTGCCTCGAAACATTACTCCATCCCCTTTCATATATATCCTCGAATTGTCCTTGATTAAGGGAATTGATTAGGGGAAGTTATAATTCATGTCCTGCAAAAGTGAATTAAAACTTAGCATTATCTTGATGAAATGATAGAGAATCTCTCTGAACGACTGAGGGATGAGAAGATGAAGCCTGCCTTACCGAGAGGGGATTCTTTGGAAGGTAGAAGCTTGTAACTGCAACTATGAGTCTATGATGGATCCTATGAGCACCACCATTTTTCATCAAGTCGTTAGATCTTGAAGCTACTTTGCAAGTCAATCCATTGCTAAGTAAAGCAGTAGTTAAAGAAATTGTGTTTGTGCCGTAATCTTGGTTGTGACTTGAGATGAATAAAGAGGGAACACAATGCACATTGTTGGATCATTCATTTCTGACTCATCATACATACCAGAAGCTTTACCTCTTCCATGAAAGGTAGCATTGATATCAAAGCATCCAACTCGCTCTTGTTGAAAAAATAACTTGCCTAAAAAGGGAGGCATGAACTTGGAATCTTGGATCAATCACCTTTTAACTAATCCTTTAGTTGACTTGAAAATGGCAAAGGGTTTAATCAGATGCTGTAAGATAAAAACAAGACAAGAACTAATTATAAGTTGGGCGTTACACAGTTGCAAGGAAGAATACACTAAAATTATGGGAAATGTGATGATGAATAAGAACAAGATGGGGAGCAAATAAGGGAACATGTGGATAGGATTGTTTAATTCAACAGTGGGGATATCCGTTTTCCAGTTCCAACTAGCAGAAAAATCTAGTTTGTACAAAGCTAGTCCAGATGGAAAAACACCAAAAAACATGCGGCAGGAAAGGAGGGTACCACTGAGACTATCCTCCTAAATCAAAATTCAATTCTTGTTTCAAAACTCTCCCCAATTCTTCAAAATGGAAAACATGAGGTTCTACAGTAATGAATTCAAAATTCAAATCAGTTGGCTGGCCTAAGAACCTCATTTTGCAACTTACAAGCTCATTCATGGTTGTGGCTTTATGAATATATTTATGAATTCCCGTAATGCCAAGGCCAACCACTCATCCCCTTTCAAATATTCTGAAAAGCATGAGCCATTTTTTAGGCAATTGAATGTATGCTTTCAGAGCAAAATAACTAGTGTATAATGTTTTGGGCAATGTACATGGTACTTCATCATATCATCCATAAGAATAAAAATAAAAATAAATCCAAAGAATGAATTAAGTACTAGTAACATTGAGTGGTTTGGCTTTATTTACCTCAACAATTGGGGAAAAAGAATACCTTGCAAAAAGGATTTGCAATGCAGATATATATATATATATATATATATAAGAAAAGGCAGCACAAGTCAAAGAAAAGTGTTATCTATTATAATTTTTCTGAATTCTCATATGAAAAGCATAAAATGGTGATGCCCGTTTCAATTCACATTAAGCGTTTATTACTTTTTGCCTCATTGTCATATATCGCAAGGTAGGGGATGCCACGGGTGAGAGTCCAGTAATCTCCTTTCCCCTCAAAGTGTTGTCGTTGAAGATGCGGATACCCACCGATGTGTAGTTCTCCAGCGAGGGAGGGAAAGGCTTCCCTTGGCAAAGATTGTAGCTTTGGGTAGTCAACTATCCATAAGTTCTCAAGGGAGCTTAGGTTTTGGAAGAGCCCTCCTAGGTATGGATTCCAAATTTGCTTCATTCCAGGTTTGAAAAGAGGTTAAAGAAGAAGGCAACACAATATCCAGAGAGAATTCTTGCTCAATTGACAAGAATTCAAGAGACGTAAGGTCTTGTAGGCCCATTGTCAAAACCCCACTTTGGGAATAGTAGATCCTGAAAGGATGTGAACTAGCACATTGTATTTGGCACGCACTTGAGATTCTTACATTCCTTTAATTGAAATTCTTTTAAGTCTGGGGCGAACCCCCATCTGGAATGAATTTGATGCCGAAGCAGTTTTCCATCCATAACCTTTAAAGAGATTTTAGCTAGTACATCGTATTTGGTAGGTAAAAGTGACAGAAAGAAATGATAATATTTTTATTTAATTAAATAATTTCATAAAAAATAAAATAAATAAAAATAATTTTTAAAATATATTAATTAAATATATAATTGAAATAAAATACTTATATATATATATTTATTTTTAAAACAATTAAAAAAATTAATTAATTTAATTTATATCAATCTCTTCAAATTAAAGAAATTAAAAATAAATAATAAAGAAAAAAGAAGAGTATTCCATCTCCTTCCTCTCCATTAAAAGTTTTTATCCAAACAATTAAAACTACTTTCTTTCTCTTACTGTCCTCTCCTTCCCCTCCAACTTTCCTGATCCAAATAGACTATAAAGCTTCACAATAGTAAATAGATAATTCAACAAAGATTGTTGACGCCATCAAGAGTTGGTAAACTTTTAAATATTTTACAATCTCCAATTTCAATGGATTGGAGTCCACATACAATATTGTGACATCCTCTCTAGAAATATTATTCCAACCAACCAAAAGCCACCATCAACTATTGTAAATTTCTTGAGAAAAGCTAGTAACTGATGACAACCCTCAGATGAATACAAACATGGAACATTCCTTATATCCAAATGTAGATTGCGATTATTGTTACCATTTGCATCCGGTAGAAACCCAAATTTCCAGCTTTTCCAGTCTCGACATCAACATACTAGTACTGCTGCTACGACTTCCATCCATCCTCATAATTGCATTGGGTAATGACTCCAAAGCTCCACATCTCACAAGCCAAGATGTTTAAGATTGAAAGGCAAGAGGCTTTTGTTCTATTTCTTCTCCTTTCTCCCACAAACAAGTAAGATCATTGCAATCTTCAATATCCAGAGTCTTAAGTGCTGTGAAGAACTGTATAAAACTCTCCGGCAAGTAAGTCAGTTCTGAAATTTTCTCAATTTTCAAATTAGCAAGGGAGATGCAATCACCCATACTCTTCAAAAGCATCGCATTACAACCTCTAACATCCAACTCTTTAAGTGAAGAAAGGTTGTTGGGTAATTGGCCTAACAACTTAGGACAATTTTGAATCACAAGCCTATGAAGAAAAGGGAATTCACCTTCACTTCGCCTTGGAGAAGTCCATTCCTTCCAATTTAACATATTTTCAAACACTAGTTCCTCTAGTGATGGAAAACAATCTTGTCCTCCATAAAACTCAGAACCTATAGCTTTTATTGCCTCCATGCCTTTAATAATCAATTTTTTTAGAACAGGTAGTAAGCCAAGTGATGGTAACAAAGTGCATCTCTTACAATTGATGAGCTCCATGGATGATAAATTCAAAAATAAGAATGGATCACAAACCCAGTTTGAGAATCTCTCACCACCATAGCAAGAAATTTTGAGACTTTTCAAATTTGAATGAGGTTTTAAATGGTTGAGGACTTGCATTTCAAGAACTAATTCATCTAGATCATTATTAGAAGTAATCCACTCCAAGACTAACTTTTCTAAACCATGGATCTTGTCTAAGTCAGCCTCTTTAGCATCTTGAACATCCAAAACATTCTGCAAATCTAGAATCGATAGTCTTCCTTTAAGTTGTGACAAGTTCTTCAAATCAGACAATCTCATCATCCCACTTGCCTTTCCCACTATAAATGTGGATAATATTCCAAGATTTTTAAGATTACCTATTCCTAATGGCACCCCTTGTAAAGATGGTGTATCAGTGATATCAAGATAATAGAGATCAATTAGATTCCCAATCGTTGTAGGCAACTTAATAAGCTCTCCACAACCAGATAATAACAGTGTTTGCAAAAAGAGAAGAGAACCCACTGATTCAGGTATACATTTGATTCTTGTACCAGACAAATCAATGTATCGAATATATTTCAATTTTTCAAAACAATCTGGTAGCTTGCTTATTGTATGTCCACAAAGAGACAACACTCTTAAGCATTTCAAAGTTGGCAAGAAATCATGCAAGATATTGCTAGATAAATAAAAGTGACAATGTGGAGTGAATAACCAATGACGAGCCTTTTCTAATTTTTCATCACCCATGCTAGGTTCAGGATTGCAATATATTTCTCCAGCAATATCTATAGCTAAATCATTTATGAGATCATGCATTATAAACTGCGATTCAACTCCACTTGATTGTTGAAAGAATGACCTTGATAACAACTCTTCGAAATATTGATGACCAATCTTCTCTTCCATTTGCTTCTTTACATGTGACTGTTGCTGTATCAAGCCCTCGGCCATCCATAATAGAACCAACTTCTCATTGTCGAATTCATAGCCTTTAGGGAACAAGGCACAATAAGCAAAGCATCGCTTCAAGTGAACAGGAAGATGATTGTAACTCAATCTCAAAGTATCAAACATTTCACATGCTCCGGATAAACTCCGCATATCAGTGTTTAATATATTTTCCCACTCATGAAACGATATTCCCCCCCGCAAGATACCACCAAGTGTTTTTAGTGCCAATGGCAATCCTTTGCACCTCTTCACAAGCTTCTCACCAACATCTTTTAGGTCTAGGTGCATATCAAAGTTCTCTTTCCCCAGTGCATGGTGTGTAAATAATGGTAAACAAGCATCATCTTGCAACAATTCTAAATTGTAAACTCCTCCATCTCCTCTCATCATCGTCCCAACATCTTTGTTTCGAGTTGTGACAATTATTTTGCTTCCAGGAACTCCTGACATGAAAGGTCTTTTGAAGAAATTCCATTGGTCATCTTCTTTATTCCAAACATCATCCAATACAAGCAAAAATTTTCGCCCAGATAACTTCTCTTTCAATTCTTTTTGAAGTGAATCAAAATCATCAAAATCACACCGTTTCATAATTACTTGTTCCAAAATAGCTCTTGTCATTCTAGCAACATCAAATTCATCAGAAACACAAACCCATGCCTTCAAGTCAAAATTACTTTTCAATTTTTCATCATGGTAAATGAGCCGAGCAAGAGTTGTCTTGCCTAATCCACCCATTCCGATAATGGGAATAACAAAGTCTTCTTCGAGATTATCTCCATTTTCTAGCAACCTCTGAAGAATAGCATCTTTATCACCATCTCGACCCCACACCTTAGACGCGGGCAAAGAAATCTCAAGTAGGTTGTCAATAGCTACTATGTGAGACTTCTGTACAGCTTTCGTTGTCAGATTTATCAAGCCAAAAGTATGCAACTCCTTTTCAATACGTTGCAATCTAACATTCAGATGATTCAGCTTAGCCTCAGATCTAAATAAATTCTTCAAACTGGATTTGACTTTCTGCCCTTTACTGATCTTGGCTTTAGACCCTGCAATCAATTCGGATCTCTTGGCATCAATCACAAACCCTTCAAGTATATCCTCCATATCATAAGCCAAATCCCTGAGATCATTAAAACATGACTTTACGAACTGATTGGCAGCTTGATTTCCTTCAGCATGTTGAAGTACAACAGCAATTTTGGGCAAAAGAATCTTCCAGCTCTCCATCTGAACACAAACTTCCTTCTTTGAATTTTGTAGTTGATCACTAAGATATCCATTCAACTTTTTGAGTAGCGAGTCAAATGTAGCAGATAAGACCTCCATTGAATTAAAAAGCTTTTCTGTAAAAGAGAGAGAACCTGATTGAAGTACAAATTAAACTAACGTATTGAATACATCACATTCATTTAACCATCATCAAATTAGTCTCGTATCCTAATGGATTGATTTACGGATTGATATAATTAGTTTTGATTTCATTAGTTTTACGCGTTGGTATTAGAAATAGCAAGAGATGATATAAAGATAACAATCAAAATATATACCGAGTTTAATTTAGATCTTCAAAGAATTGAAGAAGTAAAGATATTAATTAGAAAGTACTAGTATATATGTACATACCTTAATTAACTATGCTATAGCTGCTTTTCCTTTCTTAGTGATGCTTAAAGCCAAAAAGTTGTTGGGTTTTGTTGGGAGACTAATTAAGCTTGATTTGATAGAATATACAAAAATCTGTCAAACAAATGAAATTATTAGGATGAAAAAGACAATAAAACAATAGTTAGGAAAGAAAATTTAATCATCATTATGTTAGTTAAAAGACAAACCTTAATTAAGAATAATTAGATGCTCTAATGAATTAAAACAGAGTCAATAGATATATTTAAACAGTACTAATTAAAACCCCAAGTATTCTCTGATTTGGTCAATATAATGACATATAGAGAGATTGTTCAATGTAAAAAAGAAAAAAAAAAATGAAAACACACTCAATAGAAATAATGATCTGAAGAGATATAAAGCCAAACAAAACATATAGTAAAATAAAATTTGAGTTAAAAAAAGTATAGCTGGAGTAATTAAGAAGCATACCTTTGCTCTCAAAGCTGGAATCGCCAGTGGAGATATTTTCTGGAAAATAACTACAAGCATGGAAGAGTAACATAAGAAGAGTATAGGAAAATCTGGAAAATAACTACGAGGATGGAAGAGTAACATAAAAAGAGTATAGGAAAAGAAGAGAGGCTCTAGATGGTAGGAGACGGATGAAGTTATCAAAGAGAATATTTAAGTTGGTATGGTATGGAAAATGACTGATTTAAATGTGATATTAAAAATGAGTTAATCACATATCCACTATTGCGTTATATACTGACCATATAAATCAATTATTTTATTAAATAAAAGTAAACACCAATATAAGGTTAAATGAAGCTTACACATGATAAAAATCAAAGTCAAAATCTCAAGATAACATTGACCCTTGAAATGAAGGCTCTATTTAGCTAGTATGATTGCAATTGTTTTTTGGTTTCCATGAGAACGTCCCAACAGTGAAAAATATGTCTCAAAATTTGATATCTTCAAGGGAAAGGTTATTTTTTATTATATAATATATCATTTGATTGTAAAAAAAAAATATTTGTAATTTTTTATTTTAAGTTTTTGTTAATAAAATTTAAATAATCAAAACTAACAATTAAAATTGAAATAATCTAAAATTGAAATAATCAAAACTAACAATTAAAATTTAAAATTAAAAAAATTCAACTTATTAAAAATAAATTTTCAAAACTAATACTAGTTAATTAATTTATGAAAAGTTTGTTTAACACTTTAACTTGTACAGCCAACAAATTAGTTCAAATTAGAGCCTATTGTGTTGGTTGGTTTGAGGAAAAATAAAAAAAAAAGACAATTTTATCCAATTAAAGTAAAATATTAAACCAATATTTGAGGTCCATTTGGTTCACGAAAAATGGCTTTATATTGGAAAAAATTGTTCAAAAATTATTGTAATCATACAATGAAGTCAAAATTGGAAGAAAGTTTACGAGAAATTATTTCGTCCATATCTCTTTTGATTTCGACCTTTAATAAATAAATTAGATAAAATTAAAATTTATTATGTTTAATTTAAAAAAATAAAGAAAAGTAAAAAATTTGAACCCCTTTCGCATTCATTCCTATGTCTTGTAGGGCTTCTTTTGTTTTTAAAGAGAGGTAATAAAGAAGAATCCCCTGCTTAACTAAAATATTTATAGTAAAATTCCATTACATTTCAAGATATATTTTAAATGCACAAAAAGAAAAAAACTCAATATTTGTTAATACATAAAATATCAGTTACCAATTACGTGATTTAATAATAAAATTATATGTTCTCTTAATTATAAATTTAAGATTTAATTCTTAATCTCTATATAACCACAAATCAAAGCATTATGTCAAGCATTATAACCTTGATGATCCAAAAGGAAAAAGCTCACTTGGTGAAGTTACTTGGGAGATAATTAGAAGATGTTTCAACAAGGATTAGGAAAGTTGTGAACCATAAAAGCACAGTTTCAGAAAGTACAAGTTAGAAATTTGATTGCATGTTTATTTGTCCCAATTTTATTTTTTTTTTTAAATGTGCAAAAAGTTGAAATTAGACTAATATATGTAGCTCTTTTTAAAAAAAAAAAAAAATCTAATTTTTCAATTTACCAAATTGATTAGTGGATTCCAGGAGGGTGGTGGTTCACATGGCTTCAACAAGATACGTGTACAAGAGACTTGGCAGATATGAAAGATCAATTTGTCCTACGTGCCTGAGTTCTGGTTTTAGAGTATTCAATATTTAATTGAAATAATTGAAATAAATGTGTTGACGACTTTGTTATTT